GGTGACAGGCTAGTCTCCCCCGTAGGTGACAGGTTAGGTGACAGGCTAGTCTCCCCCACAGGTGACAGGTTACTCTCCCCCATAGGTGACAGACTAGTCTCCCCCACAGGTGACAGGTTAGGTGACAGGCTAGTCTCCCTCGTAGGTGACGGGCTAGTCTCCCACATAGGTGACAGGTTAGTCTCCCCCATAGGTGACAGGCTAGTCTCCCCCGTAGGTGACAGGTTAGGTGACAGGTTGGGTGACAGGTTAGTCTCCCCCATAGGTGACAGACTAGTCTCCCCCACAGGTGACAGGTTAGGTGACAGGCTAGTCTCCCCCACAGGTGACAGGTTAGGTGACAGGCTAGTCTCCCCCATGGTGACAGGCTAGTCTCCCCCGCAGGTGACAGGCTAGTCTCCCCCACGGTGACAGGTTAGTCTCCCCCGCAGGTGACAGACTAGTCTCCCCCACAGGTGACAGGTTAGGTGACAGGCTAGTCTCCCCCACGGGTGACAGGCTAGTCTCCCCCATGGGTGACAGGTTAGGTGACAGGCTAGTCTCCCCCACTGTGACAGGCTAGTCTAATAGAACCAGCTGGGTGATCGGCTGATATCAACGTTTTACTTCTCTAACCTGGAGTTTTTGTTTCACGTTGCTCCCATTGTGAGTCCTCGTCTTCCTGGAGAAAGCCCAGTTCCCTACTGGGACATGTGGCCCAGCCCCTGGAGAGAGGCAGACACGCTGGGGCCACGCTGGGATGCTCCAGGGCTATTGCTGCCGCTTGAGGAGGCCCGTGTCCCCAGCGGAGCGAATGAGGCCCTCCTCTGTCACCACAGTGGACAAGGGGCGTGAGGGTGTGCCCAGAGTTAAGGAGACGTCCCGGGGACCTCCCGAGGCAGTCAGCAGACCGGTAGGTAGAGCGGCCTTCCGGCCAGTTCCAGGCTGGCGGGGCCCGCGTCTCCATAGCGATCAGGGACCTACCCGGCCTCCCCCAGGTGAAAACCCGACTCTGGGAGGCTCGGACAGGTCCCCAGCAATCGCGGAGCGGCCCTGGTCTGTGATGTGGTGGCGGGGACCTCTCTCTTACACACGGGTTGTACGTCAGCGTGGCTTCTGGGCCGGTGGTGAGGCGTTTCTGAGGCGAGGGAGCCCTTTCTGGCCCTGGCGGGCTTGGGGTCCGAGGGAGGGGAGGGAGGGACGTGGGCCCCGGGCCTGTGCGTCTCCTGCTTGCTGAGCGTCTCAGAGCCCGTGTGCAGCTGCGGCCTGACGTAAACGACACCCGGCACCTGATTTATAGGCTCCCACCATGAGGGTCTAACTGGGCGCGTTTAGGCGGCTTGTCCGGGGTGCCGTGGGAACCGGTCCGGAGGAGGAAGTTCTGAGCTTTGTTTTCTGCGTTGAGGCACGTGTTTTTGCAGTTGTAAATGTGAACAGGATTTCCACTAATGAGCCCTTGTGTGTCGAGGGAGTGTTGCTAGTGTTAGTGGGTCAAAGGTAATAGAAGGAGACTTTCCCGGAAGCCTCAAGGTAGCAGCGTATCGATTCTTCAGATCTGCTTGTTAAAGAATGATACATACATGATCATTTACCAGCCAGCCAGAGACTTGGGGTCAGAGGTCGGTGTCAGGTGGGAAGGGTCAGCAGGAGTCACAGTGATGCTGCCTGGGTCTGTGTCCCCTGCCCTCCTGACCCGTGACCACCCAGGGCCACCGAGACCCACAAAGTTCTCATCAACTGGGAAAGACCAGAGGGCGACTGTTGGGTTCAAACCGCTGTCCTTCCTCCCGCGGTGAGTTCCTCTCTCGCTTCTGGGGGGCGCCTGCACCGGTGGGGTCAGGAAGGCTGCGTCCCTGCGCTGTGTGCCGCGGGCCTGGGCTGGCGGGGGACCCGGAGCAGGGGTGCGGGAGGCCACCCCGGGGCCCACTGAGGCTGCTGTACGTAGTCATGTGCCTAACGAGCTTTTCCAGGCTTTCCTCCTGTGACCTCAGTGAGCTGAAACGTGCGACTAGGGTGGCGGCCGTCTGTTAACCTCTGTTGGAGATGTCTGTCTAGAGACAGAGACAGAGGGGCAGATGTCTGTCTAGAGACAGAGGCGGGGGAGATGTCTGTCTGTCTCTGTCTAGAGCCAGAGACGGCGGGGGAACAAAATCTCTCCAGTCACATGGTTAGTTTCATGCAGAGAGGCTTCATCATCCTCTTTCCCTCCCGTCCGGTGTCTCTCTATCTCTCTGTCTCTCTCCCCTCCCCCCTGCCGACCCCCCTCCCCCCAGCAAGCCCTACCCCAGGGGCTGGGCCCCATCGTCGTCGCAAGCACCTGTGTCCCCCGCAGCCTCTGCCCAGACCCGGGGGCGGGGGCTTCCCTGGAGGGAGTGTGGTGTTTGCAGCCACGGCAGAGTCATTCTGCGGCGAGGAAAAAGGTCACCGGCGGCCTACGAAAGGGTCCTGTGGATCCCGGGAAAGGGCCCAGGACGCAGTGTCTCCGCACACAGGCCATCGCCCCCCCCCCCCCCCCCCCCCCCCCCCC